AGTAGGTCCTGGGTCCGAGCCCCGCGTTGTGCGGGATCGTGGATGCGCACTGCTGAGGAGTCCCATACTAAGACGAAACGGTCGTCCAGTGCTTCCAGGTTTTCAATGGTGATCTAGCTTCAACTGACTCATGATTTCAATCTGTGAAATTTCTAAAATCTCCACAAAACCCATTCTGATAATAATCAACTGCTCACTAGTGAATGACTTCAGGAAAAACTCCCGAAGTTCTAGTGAGAAGCCGTTACCAGTGGAGTTCAACCAGGTCTGTTGTGAGATAGGAACTCACTGAAGACAATGGTGTACGGTGGCGCAACTTCGTGGATTGGTTGAAGTTAGACATTAACACCGTTGGATGCCGGCTCAGTGGTCTAATGGTTAAGTGCTCGCGCGCGAAGCCAGTAGGTCCTGGGTCCGAGCCCCGCGTTGTGCGGGATCGTGGATGCGCACTGCTGAGGAGTCCCATACTAAGACGAAACGGTCGTCCAGTGCTTCCAGGTTTTCAATGGTGATCTAGCTTCAACTGACTCATGATTTCAATCTGTGAAATTTCTAAAATCTCCACAAAACCCATTCTGATAATAATAACAACTGCTCACTAGTGAATGACTTCAGGAAAAACTCCCGAAGTTCTAGTGAGAAGCCGTTACCAGTGGAGTTCAACCAGGTCTGTTGTGAGATAGGAACTCACTGAAGACAATGGTGTACGGTGGCGCAACTTCGTGGATTGGTTGAAGTTAGACATTAACACCGTTGGATGCCGGCTCAGTGGTCTAATGGTTAAGTGCTCGCGCGCGAAGCCAGTAGGTCCTGGGTCCGAGCCCCGCGTTGTGCGGGATCGTGGATGCGCACTGCTGAGGAGTCCCATACTAAGACGAAACGGTCGTCCAGTGCTTCCAGGTTTTCAATGGTGATCTAGCTTCAACTGACTCATGATTTCAATCTGTGAAATTTCTAAAATCTCCACAAAACCCATTCTGATAACTTTATATATAGTTTGTTTCGCCACAATATATATATATATATATATAACTGGGGACAATAGAGGTTAGGACTCTGTCTTGAGTTCAATTAGTATGATAGTTAATTCAACGCTATTACTAAATCTTCTATTGATTTCACACTCATTCAAGTCCCAACCTCTTAATTTTCCTTCAGTCGTAGGTATTCCGCTTTTTTAGAGTCTATATATTATTTATCATCTGTCCATGGATAATAATAAAATGTACACTCAATAAAAACTATGATTGAATATATACAATTTAAATTGCATAATAACAAAATAACATTCAAAGTTATCTGTTGTTTCATACATTAATAAAATCCAAACCATATTTAAAAACCATTTGTTTACCCAGATAACTTACTACTTGCTAGATGACTGACCACTTTTACAGAAAATTTCACTCATAAGATCCAAACTAATATAATTGTTCATTTGCGTGATTTAGATTGACTGTGCCAATGTTAAGACAGTTTATGTCAGAGACTGACATCAACTAGAGTGCCACATTAAACCAAAGAGCGGTGAACTGCTTAACTTCAATAAACTCAGCAGCGTGACAAATATCAAGTGATAATACTTGATTAAAGGTATATTGTAAAATGACTTGAAAATGTGGGCTAAAGGTGTTATATCCTGTTTAAGATCTAATGGTCGTGGGTTTAACTCTATGTGAGATCGTGTATTACCACCGTTGAGGAGTCCTATATAGGAACGGGACAAGCATTGACTGTCTTCCGCTTAGTAATTATTACCCATTGGGTGTCAATCTGTAACTAGAACTATCTTCGAATTAGTGTTTCCTTCATGCAAAAGACCAAGATTTCACTAATACAAAATGCAATATTATCACTACGATTACTGTTTATTACTCCACATTTTATGCAAAACAATATTTTTTCAACTCGGAAGTGTAAAGGTAAATTTTATAAATAAAATAAAGAATTACATTTAAAGTTGTTACTCAGCTTACCTATCATTTTATGACACTTGGATCTCTGAGTTTAATTATACTGTATTTCTAATGCTTTCAATTACTAGATGTAATGGATGGAAAGCTGTTTGCACTTAATGCTTAGTTACATATGCTTTACTTGTTATTCTTTCTGACCTTGACCAACACTACATAGAGTTATGCACGTCGCTTGCATTCACAAAACCTTATATAAGATAGGCAGTACAATATCAAATGCCATGATTTAATACTTACTTACACTCACGATTGAAAAGTGGCTACAGTTTTCTATCCAGTGGTCAATTAGCATAGAAGTCAGTGTGTCTAAACAAAACTAAAATGTATGAATAATGTTTAAAGAGGTGGAAAATAAATTCAGTTTTCCGGAAATGTACTAGTCCACACAATATATCGACCTTGTTCATTTTAATGTGATCAATAACTGCTGATGAAGAATTTAAATGGTTCAGTTAATCAATTGGATAATTATTTGACAGTAATTATCTGTGACCTTAGTGAAAATCAGAAAAAACACTAATAAAATTGTCGAAAATTTTGACATTTAGACATTTAGACGATAAAAATTATGATAGTTATAATCATTTAACTGTATTAATAATAGATATTTATTTTAAAGGATCATGAAAAACAAAATCCTCTGTGAAACTAAATATCTTTTGAACTAGCGAATTACTTTACAAATCAGTAGTTTTAGCTATACTGTGTTTTAATGCTCTAAATGTTATGTCATGTTGAATGTTCTCTTACTTCATAAATAGATATATTCCATCACCTTGTAATTTAGTTCAGCCTGACAGATTACTTAACATGAAAGAAAATGGGAAAATCTAAAAATAAATTCATTCCACATCTTAGCTATTTGGATGTAAATGAAAACTTTTAAGCAAAAGTGTACATAAGAAGCCAAACTTCCGAACCACTTACCAAAATTCACTAAAATAACAGACCATTAAGGTCACACGCAAGTATAAAGCCCTTTGAGTACAGTCTACGTAACTAGAGCCATAGGGCAAGTTAAATTGATAAGAACACCAAGACGAGACCATCATCGATATTTTTCCTTGGTTTACTGAAACAGCATTGCCTTTGCTAAAAATGTAACGCGCAAAATGATGGTATTGAAAGTCATTTTGCTGGATTTATTGGTTAGGTGGATGGGAATTTTACCCACTGTGCCACCTTGAAAATAAATTTTAAGGTACAGAGTTTCTTTTTTGATTGCTAGTCAGTTATGATCAACTTTGAGCTTGGCAAATATATGGGATGGCTCAAGTTTCCATGCTACATTAGCTTAACGAGATAAAGCTGAGAGTAGTAGGAAAAGTAACAAAATAACATGACAGGGTTGATAACGAGAAAGAATGAAGATTTAAAATATGTTTCAGAGAGTTATTGAAGAGGTATATATGAAGAAACACTGGAATTCTAAACCCAGATGAAGATGCCAGATTTGAGTCTGATCACCTCTAAATTTTTTTCCAGTTTACTCGTACACCGATTAACATCCCTCATCAAGTTAGGTGATGGTTAAGACATGATATATATAACGTTTACTATTCGATTGTCTCAAATTTGGTAAAAAAACGAATTTCATATTCTGTGATTGTTGTACAGCCACTACATTTAATGTATGAATCCATCCATTCATCCATCATTAAACTGAAGGGAGAGTTCAAATACATGACTAAAATATAAAATATCTACCTGCATATAACTTTGAAATGTTATTATCAAGTGATAGAAAAAAAAATCGATATAAAGTTACGTACAAATCAATTAATGTTTGTTCAAGTATTATTTATTTACTGAACTTTCTGAATTTACCATCTCATTATACATTCAGAAAATCTAAATTGGTAAAATGCTGTTGAATTTCAATAGTTTTACCACCAAACAAAATTGAATTTCTATAAAAATGAAGCAACTAATCGTGATAGACTAGAAAAACTTTAAAAAAAACATCTTTTTTCATTAAACAGACGAATAGATATGTATTAACGATTACTAGGGAACTGCACTTTCATGTGAGGAAAAAGTTTTATTATAGGGGTATTTATGACGATTGTAGGATTTCCATAGCTCAACTCATGAACTGATTACTAATAAACGTCTGGAAGCACAGGATGACCATCTCGTCCTAGCATGAAACTCATCAGTGATAAGCATACACAACCCTGCAACCGGGACTATAACCCAGGACCTTTGATCTCGCGTGCAAATGCTAAACCTGTATGTCACTGAACCGGCATCCAACGCCAAACTTTAAAGCAGTTTTTATCATTAAAATTAGTGAGTACGTTCATTATAGAACATCAACATTGATTAAAGAAAATGGGACTATAGAAAATTACATGGACCAATAGTCTACTAAACATTTACTCCTTGTACTATTCTAAATAAATTTTAAATCAAAAAATTATGTGTAACCGTAACGTCCTTTCTACTTAAAGATTACAGAGCAAAGAGTTTACCTTCGTAGTTCCAAACGTTTCACCATACAAACCAGGCAATATAAACGGTTATCTATTGGGGGTTAAAAAGTATTTTAACTATCATTCATATGTTTTTTAGTATCTATATTAGCAGTGCTAGTAGTAGTACATGGGTAGAAGAATATGACTAGTCATAATTGGAACGAATGGTAGCATTACATATTGTAAAGAGCATTTTATGGTGTACGCCATCGTGGAAATTTACCTACGATCATCAACCGAATTTGAAATTCTTGATAAGTGGTACAAATTGTAGAGCTTAATTTTCTTTATATAAGTGTGGGGTGCTTCATCTATCGGCCGATTCAATGTATGTAAACTGATAAATATGTGAATTTAAGTAGATGCAAAGTAGTTTGATTATCGCTTGTTAGTTAGGCGCTTCCTATATACGTTTTACTATCATCATGTTGAATTAAGTGACATTTCTAAGTCGTCTACAAATTTCTTATTTACAGCAGATATTTCTTACAACATGTGAACACATTGAATAATGAGTTGAATACATGCAAAAAGACAAAATAACTACTTTCAGTAATTTTGGTCAGACGATTCTTCGACAGATCCAGAGTTTTCAATTGCGTAAGATTTCCAATACAATCTGGAATCGGTCCTTGCAATTGATTACTTTTCACTACTAATGTCTGTAAAAGCTTAATAAGAAAATATATTTCGCGGGTAAAATGATACAGGTTATGATTAATTTTATAATGTGGACAATTACTACAGCCAAAAACATCAAAGATTCGAGTGCTGTTTGATGAAATATTTGTGGAACTTTAGTCTACATGACAAGTATGAATAAAAATGAAAGACATAAAGGTCATAATAATAAAAACTGGATAATAACCATGAAAAATTGTTTAAGGACAATAATAACTTATTATGGTTTAAAATTACAAAATACTTATCCGAAAATCAAAACATAGTGATAATATGAAAGACCTTAAACATACGAATGTATAGCTTAGGTAAATTATTTCGTCGAAAAGATTTTCTTCTCTAAATTCTCTTTATTTTTATTCAATGACACAACGGACTATTTTAACTATCTGAAGAGTTGCAATGGCACCTAAACATTCTCTGAAAGTAACTACATCCTTTAAAAAAGGTAGAAACTATAGTTTTAGCATGCAAAAACATGCTCATAAATTAAAAAGCTCATAATTCAGTTATACTTGTGAGCGGAAATGGACTTTAATAAGAATCAATGATTTACCAAGGTGTTTTAACTCTAATCGTCAATAATGTCAAGAACAAAAATCTATTGATAGAATTTGAGTAAGCAGTATTTAACCACAGATGTCATAATTCAGAGCGGTACACTGGTGATTGAAACAAAGCAGAGGAATGCATGAGATATAACAGTGCCTTTTTCAACCACTTTTCAAGATTGTACTACATGTGACTTGATCAAAGTATAATATGACTCAAATATACACATAACAAACCAGTAATAGCCGTAACATGAATTTAAATTTTCTTCGTTAGATACTAACAGGAAGAGAGTATTAATAGCCATCACACAGAGAAGCTATGTCCAAGATACATAATACTAACTTTTATTCTAGCTGTCACTTATGTTTGCATCTTTTGTAATTATTGAATAATAGCACTGTACCATAAAATAATTTAACCAAACTTCCGCTAACCTGGTGATTTTAAGCACATTTTTATTGTTTCGAAACTCTGAAGTACATCTAGTGCAGTAACAGAAACTAAATTCATTATAGTGCCAAACTCATTTAAGAAAGACCATTATGCTATGAAGATATATTTGCAACGTAAAAGTAAAAACATCTCGCAGAATGTCTACAGTAGGGTCTTTCTACAGAAAGATCTTAAAGTATCAACCTATTGTCGCTCTTGAAGCTTATTGACTACATGTTGATTTACTCTCCATTGACATCAGGTCCCTGACAAAGTTCCACATACCCGACTGTTACCAAAGTAGGACAGTATCAAAGTAGAAGATTATTTCTGTGGATAAATAGCTTTTCAGTTGGACCCAAATAAAGAGCATTAACTGTCTAGCTTAAAAATGGTGCCCGATGAAGTAATTCAGGATGCAGTATTAGAACTAGCATCAATTCCCTCGTATGTCAATGATCTTCCTGGTTTTTCGTCATCGTCAGTTTTGTGACTGAAGACTTTTAATAAATGTATCAAGATACGATGAAAGACATGAAACAAAGGGAGTAGTGCGGAGGTTTTAAAAGGTCTGCAGAAGTCGGAATATTTTTATGGCACCCAGCAACTGATATTGAATGGATCTAGGTGGATTATGCTGCATATTGGTCATTAACACATAATCAAATAGCGAAAAATGTTAAGTCACTTGTTTTCTGTACACATAGTCATTCAGAGGTTAGTATCCATCAAAATTTTAGAACCGTTGTACATGTTTAGTTACCCTCAAATGTATCAGAATTCTATAGTTAATAAGTAGAGATTTCAGCAATTCCTTAAATCATATACGCTGTGAGTTCAACTGGAACTCATGTGTTGCAAACAGGCAGTTAACTTGCCACAAAAGGATAGTAAGAAATTGGAAAAGGTATAAAAATCTCAAACAAGTTGAATGCATGGATCTCAGGGCTAGTACATGATGACAGATCCGCTGAACTAAACCTAATTCTTTTATGAGACACAACAATCAGAGGACATCTCAGCCTATTAAACGTCATTTTCGCATTAGACATTCCCTCATTTTTTACCTCCTAAAAAGGAAGATTAACAGGGGCACTCCAAAATCGTTCAAAAGGCCATGAAGAATAACCCATTAGTTACCTACAGAACTCAACACATGTTTCTAACTCCATCTTCATGAACACTGAATGGATAATTGTTTTAAATAAGAGAACTTACTTCTCCGTAATTACCACAAGTCCCACAGCCTTCTGTACTTCCTAGACTGAAAACGAAACTCAACTGTCTGTCAAAATGTATTACGTTATTATTTGAAACAAACGCTAGGTTTAGAAAGTTTATGTGTAAGACAAAATGAAAATCCAGGAAAAATATCATACAGGATAAGTGAAAATAACAAGACTAGACCTACACATAAATTACCAATAGCAGATATATCTGTTAATTTATTGTAAGTCAGGTAGAGTTGTTTCATTAAAGTGAATTTTGTTATAACAACAGGAATGCAACCTTCAAGCCTGTTGTGCCTGATATCAAGATGAGTTAGTTTTGAACAATAACCAAGCTCATCTGGTAGAAATGTGAGGGAGTTTTCTTGGAGCCATAACTGTGAAAGAAAGTAAACTAAATTACGGCATACTCTCTGGAGATTCTTCAGAAGTCCGATCTGCAAGGGAAGACATGTTAACTTATTATCATACAAAAAAAGCTCTATTAAATGACTGAGACTCCCAATGTCCGGAGAAACGCTGTCAAGCCCCAAAGAGGACAAGTCCAGTACCAATCTACTTTTCGAATCAGAGATCAGCTTACTGCCGTCCTGAAACAGTTTTTATAACTTCTCAATCGAAAACTAACGGAATGATTAGATTTCCTTGATTTAGTTAAGCTGATAATTTTTCCATTGTCATCTTGATAAAAGACCCCTCTCTTTGCGGCTAATGAAGCAGGAGATCCAGGTATCCCCGGACTTTGTGATGAGCATATTCCAGAGTTGAGAACAGGATGAGAGCCAGTACCTGTAACATAATATCGCGCTTTCAATAAGAACTACTTCGGATATACGTCTTCAAGGATTTGTATTGCTTACTAAAAAATTCTTTATTGACTGACTTTGCCTTGTCCTGTTCGGTTGAAGTGTATGAACGCTGCCTCTAACCAATGAAAAAAAGTTGGGAAAATATCTTACCGGCATATTACAATCGGTTTACCGCGTTCATGTCAACCTTGAAAACAAAACCTTTACTAGCACAAATACAAAATCCAGTACTTCCTTAATTGTTCATGAGGTAGATGAATAAAAAGTAGATAAACTTTGTTAATTGACAAAAGACGGTTATTCTTGTCAGATGTTGAGGCAATCATGCTAGACTTTGGTTATAGAGATAGGCCATGTGACATTTGTTAATCCTTGTATTACTGAGACATCTGGATCAGGTTTTGCAAGCTTCAGTAATTTCGCATGTGCTTATGGTCAGCTCAGAGGTTATTGAGCTATGGGCTGACAGAGAGACCTGTAGATGCACCGTCCAACTCCTGATGATGCCGTAAATATGAACTTCCGAGGATTTTCAAAGCAAATGCTAAGTACCCACCTGTTTGTAATGATCGTCCAGTTAAGATTAGTTCTTAATGTAGACTATGAGGGTTCAGAAACCACTGTCAACTCCTATAGTAATTACTATAGTTCTGAGAGTAGGGATTGGGCACACTAGAGCTTCAGGCGTAGTGTCACGGGCGCGGAATTCTGAAAACTAACGACAAATGGAGTCTCGGTAAATTTTCGGCCGTGAACTTGATCGTCATAAGAGGATTTTATACCGTGTTAGACTGTTGGTGCACAGACATGACTCTAATGCCTTCATTTAAAATATCTTCTCAGCATAATGTTCGGGGTAATTAAAACCTCGTAGCGAGATTCTGACAAAGAAGAAAATCAGAGGAGCAGCAAGGCGCTTGGGTATGAACGCGAAGCAATGCTTAACATTTTATAATGCAACAGATAGAGGTATGATAAATTATTAGACCAAATTCATACAAACTTTTGTTGCTAGAGTAAAATGTCATCAGAGGCTTTAGAAGAGATAATAATTAATAAAGAACAATCAGTTGTGATATTTATCAAGATGGAGTAAGTTCAAATAAAGTGAAGGAAGTCAAGGTTGGAATTAAGAAGGCTGTTTATTGGAATGAAAAGTGCATATAGAGAGTAAAGTGTTAAGAATCTAATAAATATCTATTGTCTGATTATTTTAGTTTGTTTTTTCCTTTTTGACCCAATGAGAACCACATAGTCCTAGTGTAAAAGTTCGAGGCAGTATGTTGTAGATTGTCTTAGTAGAATAGCATAAAATTAGAGACATGAGTCTGAATGGTGAGTGTAGGAGAACAACCACAACATCATAGAATCTTTTATTTGTTCACAACCATAAAGAGCACGATACAAACAAAATGTTCTGCCCCACAGATATGCGTGGATTTTTCGTGCCTTAAGGTAACCCTCGTGCTATTGATAGAAGAAACCAGAAAAGTAGTGAATAGGTCTTTATTTCGATCTTAGCGCAGTCACAGTGGAGCGTGGGATTATCTGTTCAGACAAACAAAGGCTCTCAACATTCAATATAAGATAATAGGGAATATAACGCTTATGAAAAATAAGGAAGTGAATGAATACTTGAACGATACTGTTTTGGCATAAGCTTGGTTGTTTGGGGTCAACTCTTAACCAACCAACCTGAGCTGTTACATTAGCTTCCCCCTAGAATCGACTTCCTTAGGAACGTCGGTTCGATTAACCTATCCAACGAAAACACCTTAGTTCTATTTCTCATCCCAAGGGAAAATTATCAACTCGCTCACTATTTGACTTACAATCAGTGACGACTAACGCTGTCAACGATAGTCCATGGATGTCTCCTCATTTACTAGCTTGTCATCTTATTTTGTAGCATGTGATCTATTCTACAACTATCGCTGACGGTTTATTGCGTGCTTTCAAGAGAAAGTGTGAGAATGTGGAATAAGAATATCTGAGGAAGTGCCGCGAGCGGGCTACCCAACACCATGTTGGTGAGGTACGATTTTTCCATGCTCAGACCGGCTATCAGGTGTTTACTCACCTGCCTCTTTAGTCGCCCTCAAGTAAAAAGTAAAGAAGAATCTACTTCAAAGGTAATGGTGAAAACCAATCACACCTGAAGAACTGCTCCACTGCCTGCATAAAAATAATAAGATACAAAATGGAAATACAAAAATATAATTTATAATTGTTCGGTTCCACGTAAGTGATTGGCCTCCAGAAAGGATTGGTATTCTGGAAGAAAATAGACATAGTGTAGCCATCTTATGTACGAAAAGGTATGAACACACAAAAAATACTTTTTTATAATGCATATATGTAAAAGTGTAAACTTGCTAGAAGTTGGACTTATTGTCAAACCCGATCAAATGTATGACCTTGGGCCTATGACGACCGCCTTTTATAACCAGGTACGTAACCAAGGGTGCATAGTTGTACTCCACAAAACGGAAAAGAATATACGGTTAAGGAGGAGAAAAAATTTGTGTAGATTATGAGGATTAAGTACAATTGTGTCAAATACTCTTTTCTGGTTTGATCTAAGTATGTATGATATACTGAAACAATATTTCGTCAATTCATCCAAGTAACGAATTTGTTTGCACCTTAGAAATGTGTAAGTCATATTACTCATTAGTATTATATACGATTAATCGGTAAAAGGAAAGATTGCAGTCATTCGCCCGTGGTTTGATGTGGTCTAATGGCTAGGCACACGGTCTAGCATCCAGGAGGGCAGAGGTTCGAGTGTGTGTGGGGCTAGCGTTTTCGTTCACCAAAACCCTCTTCAATACGATGTTTGTTGGCCATATGTTGCTCAGATATGAGAGGAAGATAACAGGAGGACGGATTGATATGTCAAAGTGCCATATTGGAATAGTACAAGTTCTTTGTTTTTATTAATAATAATGCTATAGAAAAAAAAACTACAAGTGTGGTAGATTTCCATTTTACGTTATAATTAAACCAACGAGAAAAAAAGGTATATATATATATAAGTTATTGACATAACATGTTTTTTTATAACGCTAGTGTTAAGTTCCAGGATTTTGTATGGACCACTAATAATAATTGGTTTAACGTTAGCATAGCTGTGATATTCATATTAGTTCAATGTTGTGATTACTTAACAGTGAATGAATACTTGAACGATACTGTTTTGGCATAAGCTTGGTTGTTTGGGGTCAACTCTTAACCAACCAACCTGAGCTGTTACAGATTCAAGTCATCGCCATCACCATCACCATCAATGTTTGCTGGTCAGTAAATCCACCCCCCTCCTTTTGTAATGTTAGTTTCATTTAAGCTTATTCTGGATATATATCATACCTCACATAATGCTCTGTGCTTCACATCCTGTTGGAAAACACTATTTCCATAAGCACCATTTTACAAGCTTATCAGGCAGTTACAAATTATTGACTGTGGGTAAGGCATCAATCCAATGCTTTATTTGATTATAGTATAAATTATAGGTTGCCGATCGAGTATAGGCACTAAGAAGGGTATATTATAGGATAGTTGTTTATCAAAGTAGGTGAGATATAGAAATATATGGGTTATGGATAAAGTAACGAGTGGAGAAAAAATATTAATGACATGTCAAAATGGTGCACTGAAGAGTTAAAAGCTAATCAACAATATACAAGAAGGAACTCACATTAACTTGGTGTAGATGTTATTTTGTTCTATCCTAACCGGTTGATGGGTAAAAGGTTCCATAGGTGCAAGATCACTGGTAGTAGGCAGTCGACTGTGGGGTTCTTTTGAATTTTAAGGGTTTACAAAAATAAAATCCGATTGAGAACGTTAAGGTGGAAATAAGGATTAACAATAATAGGTTGCGTTTCTTTAGTCGGGCTTACCAATGTAAAATTATGGTCTACTATGATATTAGTGCTGCTCTAATAATAGACCTAATCCTAAATTTGTAGATTTGTCATGATATAACTGCCTAATCTATAAGATCTTACGTGGACGTCACACCATCGACTACGCCAACTCACTGTATCGTACCAATTACCAACACATGATGTAGAGCAAGGTTAGGCTAGAGAAAGAACAATATATTTAATATGAATGGAAGAAATAAGATAACATTCGGCAGGGACCACGCCTGCACGGCCGAGCCATGCCGTTCGATCAACTCTAATTCACTCAACTCATTGTTCGCGCCTTCTCCATTGTTAGGTATTTCCCCGAGTTAAATATTGAATATCTATTTTCTGAGTAGTCTCGTGTTCACAGCTTTGTGGATTGTGTGGCTATTGTCCAATGCCACTACAAATTCATCAACAACAAGCATCGATATGTGTTCGGGTAGATAATTCTGGTGACTTGATTTAAAAAGCAAGAACAAAGGTTCTAGAAGAATAACATGAATCTATGTTATTTCTTTTGTTTTCGCCAGCTACCTACATTCTGTGACGTTAAAAAGATCATGATTACTTAATGGGTTTAAATTACTTACATGAAAGGGTTTGACCAGAAGTTATATTGAAGACATGTTATTGAAGCATAGCAAGAGTATAAATAAATGTAATAGACTGAATATTGTAAATGTACTTTCTGCAAAAGTGCATACTACAACATTGATTGTGACGTAGATAACCAACGTAGATGATCTATGTCGAAATGATTAGAGGCATACTCGGGTTAGACGTGAATATTGTGACAAACTAGCTAACGTCGAAGTCATACCTCGTAGTCAGCACCTTATGTGGACTACCCCATTGATGTATCAAGGCACCATAGGTGCTTTGAAGACTGTACAACACAGAGGATGTTATTACAGAAATATATTAATTAAAGTAGATACAAGCGAAAGTACGACCATTGCCGCATGGGCCAGTCCATGGCGTACGATTAAGTGATGCGCGTTGGTTGACCGTTACCTCGATGATGATCGATGATTTGTTCGATAATCAATGACCCAACTGAGGATGATTTAGCTAGGGCTTAGTGATATTTCGCTGGCCCCACCGTGACGACAGTTCAAACAGCCAGAAACAAGTAATTACATAATGAGCAAACGTTGATAGGAATAAAATGAATAGAACTCAGTTGATAACATCAGCGTATTGTTCACCAAGTCAAGGAAAAATTAATAACCATCTTCTTTTGAGCAAAAATTCACCTTGAAGGATTGCAAGCTATCAACCTGATGTCCTGTATCAAAGAGATGTTTGGTTATTGTACTGTTTGAAGTCTTTCTTTTGATTTTATGAATATTAAACTGCTTGCCAATGTCATGGTGACCCAAACGGAAGTCTCAATCAAAATATAATGATAGTTAAACACGATGTCTTATATAGATGAAGGCTCAGTAATAACACCCAAAACAATAATATATATATTGTGGAGGACAAAGCTACAGCGTTGATAACCCTCGTACCTTTGTATCAATAGATAAGAACCAACCGACCTGAAAAATCAGAAACACAACAGCTCGGTAACCATGTGGTACTTGATAAAATAAAGAGACGAACGAAAAGTGCGAATTTACAACACTTGGATGATCTCGAATCAGGTATATACAGTCGAAAGGTACTAAAATGTGGATAACTAAGTTTAATTTGCTTTGAATATGAACAGTTAACTACAATATGACAACGGTACGAAAACTCAATAATCCTACAAAATGTCACTCGTCAATTCACACAAAAAGATGAGTGATCAAAGTTTCCAAGCAGTATTCTTCGTAAACAAATGGGATAGACGATCTTCATTCCCTAGAGATAATCAGTGAATCAATCAGAAATTATCAAGAATATAGCTATTGCCGCTAGAACAAAAGTGTAATGCTTAATTAAGACAAGACATGACATGGTGAGCCAGAGAACAACGAAAGTATCATTTAAGTGACTAGTGAAATGTATTGACCGCTGATACATTTGAATAATATTTACTGAATGCAGAAATAATTATGAAAATACCTCATAAACAGAGGGATTATAATACATTTTATTGTGTTGACAAAACTACTCATACTGTAGGACACCACAATCTTTCGAAATCAAGATAGCTCTCTTAATAACAAGATACAGGTGTCAGGAAACAAACAATTATCTTATTCTGCTTGCAACTTTTGAATTTTGAAACGTATACAAAAGACCTTGAATTGCCACCATTCTCGGCGGGGCGTCTGGAATCTGGGTCCTAATGGTTCCGTCGGACTCGCATGATCTGGGCGGTAGGTTCTTATGGTCTAGATCTCTTTCTTTGTCAATAATTTTGGTTTGATAAGGATTTATTTCTGAGAGTTGTTAGTGGCAATAAATAACAAAATTTTCAGTGTTAGTTGTGTCTGAATTACGTTATTTCATATCCATCCAGTTTATGATGTAACCTGTTAGATGAGCGTAATAACTTGTATTCGTGAACATTAATTCACAAACTTTATAACGGCAAATGCATTTTGCGGAAGTGCAACTCACTAAACCTAGTAGGTTTCTGTTTGATGAATTATGTGAGTCTGTAACTCATAGACGACCTTTAATCGATGCTTAGTTGATCTTAACAAAATTCACTTTACTAGAGTCAAAAGAGAGTTATAGTCTAGTATGAGGAACCAAGGCTGGGACTGAGAGTTCAAAGTCATAGTTAGGGGTTAGAGCTAGAGTTTTCATCACAAAGCGACATCGTTGTTAATGCTGAAATGCTATTTGGCCATATAGATGAGTGAAATCCGCCCCAAGATTTGCTCTCTTCAATCTCATTTGTTCATCCATACATTTCAGTCTCACCACAAATTCGGATAATGGTTTCCGGCAGCTCAGCTAGCCTAGTCGAACTCATACCCATTTTAGGTCAAGTGAGATTTCTGTCTTTTAATTAAAGGGCGAGTGTAATGATCAACCAACTGACTGACCATCTTAGACCATTCAGTTCTGTTCTGTGTATCTGATTTCGAATTCATTGGTAAGCATTATATCCCCCCGCCTTTTGCTTTGTTAGTTTTGTGTATGGTTTATTTTTAAATAAATTTGTGTGCAGTGAAGTAAAACAACTTGCATCAAAACATATTTGTCTCGGAATTCGCTTTAATGACTGATTGAGTAGTTTATTCATCGTACATATTGAGGAGCTACTTAACAACTGTAAGCTGTTTACACTTAACATAGCTTCCTAAAAAAATCCATGAGTAATAAGAAAAATCATAATGAGAAAGGTAGTAATCGACTGTAAGGGTGTGAAATATGCTCGTTCATAATAATGTATTTATGCTTCGTAATTGGATATTTCTGAATCAAGTTATTCATCTCTTGGATTGCCATAGTTTGTGCTGGAAATGATACTCCAAACTACTTAGACCACTAATTTAAAAGTTTAGTTTATAGGGCAATGGATTGACCTCATCAGGTGTGTCACACTGGCAACTAGTAATTCAAGTTTTTTTATTGGCTACTAATCCTTGTAACCAGGGTTTCCTAGTCTTATCACACTCCGGCTGTTTTTGATGGCATTCTGGAAGCATTAGCAAACTCATGTGATGTTACCTGGAGAAGGAATTATCTATCTCAAATAAGTAGGTAACCTTGTCCTACTGTGAGGTGATATATAGACTATCCAAACTTGATACACTCAGCCAGTATTTGGTGCTTTTAAGTTACTTCCTTAAATTTTTAGGAGCCCGTCTGAACCTTTTGTTTTTGGTGAGCCGCAATGTGCATAAATAACCGAAGAGTTATAGTCGGATAGTTTGAGTGCCGGTGATGCGTTGCAGACAAAACCAATCTACTTATAAAAAAGCCAAAGTGGTTTATGCCAATTTCTATTTTCTGCGCCTTCATGGTGCTAACTCAATATACAAATCATCGTAGTAGTCAGCTTTTTGTGGGTTATTGATTAAGGATATTCCGCAACTCGGTTTTTGAATCATTGTATCCGAAGGGTTACTCTAACGAAATTCTTCGTAGAAATGCGATAAAGTTAACTAAATAGTCCTGGCTCTTTTTTGACTGAGCTGAGTCTGATAATCAGTATTATTTTTGTTTGTTCATCGGTTTTATGACCCTTCACAAAGTCATTACTTAAATGGTGTGGCATGTTTTTTATTGCCTATTGTACCAGAACTGTGTACTATAAATAAATAGGAATGAAGCTATTTAGGTTTCTAGATGGTTGTGCGCATGAGTTGTTTATAATCAATTTGTCAACTGAGGAACCCTTCTGGGTCCGTTTTTTTATGAAAACTATCGTCACGTTAAGTCAGTGAGGCTATAATCACTCAACTATGGAAGTAGACTTCCGGAATAAATGCATTACCATCACTTTGTTGTACCAGTGTAATAAAGAGCAGTAACCTGAACTAATCCATATTTGTTTCACAGATGTAAGATTGTAATATCGTGGCTGCATCTATTGTTTCTCGTCGAAATAACTGATGCATCATGTAAACGAATGAATTTGAAACTAAGGTTTATAATCTTTCTTCAACCCCACTGTATCTTATTACAAAGTGAAATGAAATTCAAAGCATCCTTTTTCATAATCTATATGCTTATTAGGCGGTTACTTAGTAGTTAAAGCTTTTGGAGTTCAGCTACTAGATCCGAAGTTTAAACTTTTTCCCACCTACTTCGGTTTGGGAAACCGGGTAGTATCATTAGCCCTCACACTTAGATTATAGCTTACACCCAAGTGCCTGGTGTGTTACCTTATTAATTTTTTAGTACAATAAGTCAATAGTAAATAATCAAATTTATTTCCCGTTCCTGGTCACGAAACAATTCAAGGCGTCATTTTAAATTAGATTGGAAAGTATGGTGGAACACGAGTTAATAAAAGCCTATCCTACCTTTGGATGTCCATTTTTACTTTTTTTCTTACAAAATTCACTTGCATTGACGGAATAAATAATTCAAACTTTTTCATAGTACTCTAGTCTTACTGAGATATAGTTAGTAAGTAGACAGTCAGTGATTACATTTTAGTTTGCTTCGGCAAAAATCGGTACTGCTTATTGATGTGTAAATACTAACAAGATTAATGCTGTCTTTATAGATTTTTTACCCTAATTAATTCTGTTTACTGATACATTGAAAGTGTCAAGGAAATTCAGTCTTTTTCATAAAGTTCACTCAGTAATAATAATAAATAATGTTAAATATGTATTTATCTCTGTGTTATGGATAGATTCCTGGATAGAAGTCACTCCACAAAGTTTGGGTTACAACCAAAATGGTTCTAGTTATTCAGGTATCCATGTTCTCAGTATCAATTCACAGACACTAGGTTCCCAGGAGCCTGGGGGTCTCCATACCATAGTTGAAGAAAGGTTACTAAGTCTCTTCCTCTCAGAAGCCCAAGAACATTCAGACAGGGCAAGCGATGGTTCTCTGCCTAGCCCATTATCACACGACGAACTTCACAGTGGTGATACATCTGAACAATCTCACTCTACGTATCAAAATATAAGTATGGCCAAATTCCCCACTGCGAGTTTTCCAACTGACTTTCCAGTTACAAGCTCTGGAGAATGGGCTAGTCGACCTGAAATTGGAGCGTAAGTCAATATATTCCGTAGTTTTAACGTTTTATCCCACCTTATAAAGCTAGGAAGGAATCAACTTCTTACATACTGTATACATGATATTTGTCATTCATAAAATAATTAACCAATCCGTATTTTTGTAAGTAGAATTTGGCGTACCCAAAGACATTAGTTTGTGTTAAGTCAACCAAAACTATTTTTTTAGTCTACACTGTGTCATCGCTGTCAAATGTATCTTGATAAACGGTTGTGTTTGCAGTCCATTGATGCATTTAGTACCATTTAATATTATATATGACCTACGACATTTTAGATTATTTTTCACTGTTTATCTTTGTGATTGTCACATTCTAGTCATCCAACCTTAAATGTAATTAAAATTTATGATCTAACGTTGTGTTGGAATCAAGTAGAGACTATGTTTCCATCAGCTCTGGATGCTATAGTTAATACATATTCTAGACGTGAATAAAATATGAAAGTGGTCAATCTATTATGTCGACCTATGGTCATTAAATTGTGATTTTTATTTATATACTAGTAACTACTAATGATTAACGCTTATGTGTGAACCCAATTAATCCTTAACTACAACACATTTTTCTGTGGTCGACGAACTATTATTTTTCTTCGGAGTGATATGTCAATAATACTTCTTGTAAATGTATGCACAAGTAATCGATCCATATGCATACATAAGCAATACACACAAATATGCGTCATTGTTTCATCCTGTTGCTCATAAATATATAGGCCTAGGTTTACATGTGATTAAATTTGCTAGTGATACTCTTTAGATTGTTGTTATTCATTTTTTAAAAATAGATGAAAACACCCGAATTTCCGTCTCAGTCACGCTTTTAATGCATACATTATTTAAAGTGATTAGATTTATATCAAAAAGTGTATTATCGAAAACGTGTTGTTTAATATCGATAGAAAAAGTGTCATTAAAATATAAGATACTCTTTTCAAGGTTGGCTTTCTCATTAACTTAGTTTTTAATGTCCTTTTGTTTGCTAATTAATAATCACAAGTTCTTCTTTTCAGTTACTGATTTAACTCATTGTTCTTAGCACTTGATTCCGGATTGAGAAAAGAGAAATTCGAATCTTACTTAATGATCACTTTTAAACTCTAATCCTTATCCTTAACTGCTGCACATTAAGTACGCTTAACATCCAACTCCTTCGTTGTTAATTTGCATGCTAATAATCGTGAATTGATCATCAATCACTGGTATTTTCCGAATTTTCAAGGTACACTGCACTGGCATGTCAGACAAATGATTCTAAAGAAAGCGTATCCAGTCCTCCTAATTGCTCATCTCCAATTAACGGCTCGTGGTATCTACGCAACTCGGCTTTTATGAAATCGCGTTTCATTGGTTGGTTGCTTGATCATATTCCAAATATATTAAGCCATGCGACTACATTCCTGTTGGGAGCAATTACGTAAGTTTTAGATCATTTATTGAGTGGATATATTTGGTTCGTTGTGTTAATATACTTATGGATCTGAACTAAATTCCATTCATCGTAAATGAGAAACCCGCTTCATGGTACACAGATACAAGTCGTGTTCAGATCTATAGCTTTGTTATCAGTCAGATTCACAGTGTAGTACTATCTTGGAATATCTCAAACTTCATCCGTAAGAACTATCTAAAAATAACACAGTTGATAGTTCCAGTTATATAGTAATTAATTTAACATCCATAAAGTTATACTAAATCTAAACATCATAGTTATCTTTTATCTTGTGTTGAAACTACTTTGATAGGATGTCATAACTTAAGTGTAACTCTGTTGAATATGCATCAATTATCTGTAGTCATATATTTCCTCGGATCGGTTATAGTTTTACTTAAAAGTAACTTTAAAAGGTGTTGTCGTTAATACAGTTATTTTGAAAAAATGGTCTGCAAACTTGGTGTAATATAAATTAATAAGATTGTAATGTAACAAATAGATTAACTTGTGTGCATGTACATCTACTTAAATTAGAATTTTGAAATGCGGAAATTTTATAGAACTCAAAGGCCAAATTGCAAAAATAGTAGTTTTTTACCCAGTGATGCAGCGTTCTAAAATCTGTTTGTGTACTCCCTTTTTAGCGCATGAAGCTTTCGATTTCAGAGAACTTATCAATATGTACTTATTTCTTAGTAGAACAGTATAAAAAGAATAATTGCTGACGTTTGAATAATACTTATACATTTTTAAATGAAGCATGAAGGAAAGAGGTTAAATTCTGATACTATGCCTAAAATCTATATCTAACAATCTAGTCTTAATTGGTCGTAGAACAAGTAACCTACATACTAAGAGATATTTTCATGTCGGGAATTTATTCGTCAACAGCCTTCCTCATTTTTCGCACTGTAATCTTTAGGTCTACTTCAGTGTATCGTTTTCGTGTTTTTAGATTTTTATCTGTATTTGTAAACATCTAGTAAGCAGTAAATAGAGCTCACGAATGTTTACAATAAAAAATTCTTTAGAGAACCGTTTATCTGTTTCTATTTGTTTGTACAAAGTTTTTATTTAATTGCCTTCTTAACAACTTTATGCAACATAATTCTTTAAAATTTGTACCTCAATATATTCCCCCAAATGCCCTGGTATGGCCGAGAATGGGGTGGGCCCTCCCTCTCTCTCGAAATGCTCTCACACGGCCACGCGTATACAGCCTCTGCCAGGGAAGTCCTACTCACTGCCTTCCCGTGGCGGGAGTTTTATTTACGAAATTGAGAAGACGAAAAGCGAATGTCCGGCGCTTTAACCGGACTCCAAACCAATGGTACACATGGGGTTCAGTATCCTGAAGGAACAAATGGCGTATGAACCAATCGTTGGTCACCGGCTACCATGGAACTGCATCTCCTCATGATGCTCCACTGCCTTGTCGGTCAGACCTTAAGGTCAAGGGCTCAGGGTGTGGTCCCCTAAGAAAACCGCCTGTTTCGGTCTGGGCACCTGGGCAGTATCACAGCCCTCACACAAATCAAATGATTTATGTGGCGCATATCTATTTGGTGCCTCCTTGTACCAATATCTATGTGTTAAAATAAATAAAATAATAGTAATCAAGATTTATCAATGTTTTGTTTATTTTTCTATTCATAGCATGCTTTTATTCATCCGAAAACGTGCAAGGTTCACAAAAGTACTAAACATACCTTTGGATTAAATCACACAGTGAATAATCACTTGATTTGACTAATCAAAAAATATTTTTTACAATAAAATTCATTCATCAGTTTGTACACTCACATTAAGTACTAAAGGTGAAATAGGTTTTCTGCTGGTTTCGTTTTGTTCTTTCCTTTAATTACCTTTTGTTTTACCATATATGTTTAACGTTGTGGTTGATTATTATTGGTGTTTTTGGCCTTTAATCATATTATAAATATATTTCTTTCGTTATTAACTCCAAACTTCATCGCACATATATTTGTATACACATTTGTGGTTTCTTTATTTTGCATACTAAATATTACCTTTAATTATCAGTAATATATTAGAAGTTGAGTATATATTAATTGTATTCATGAACGTAACTACTTTCACATTCTTTGTTTTTTGTCATTATCAATATTTTATATTTTCATTTATTTAAATGAACGTTCAAGTTTTCTATTTGTGTCAGAGAAGTTTGAATATTTTTGCGCAATATTATTATTCTTATTATTATTATTGTTAATTTTTTTCTAATATATGCAAACATACTTTCGTCATATTTTATCATCTTCACTTTTATTTCTTAATGTTCTTTTAAAAGAGATAATTAATAACGGGATCATTTGCCTATTTGTTTAACTATTCTAAAGATTAATTAAATTATCTCTTCGTCAATATTTGTTTCTATGATGATTATCTTCTTTTTTTTACAGAAAAGAATATTTTTACTGTTCCTTTTTGTCTTTATTTAAAAGTTCCTTCATACTGGTGGTTTACTCAATCTATTCCTACTTTATTAACTTTTAGGAGAGATTACATAACAATGCTTCCTTTTTTCATAATGATGATTATGTTTAATTAGTGGGCTGGTATATGTATGATTTTTACTGCGTATTGCCACCATCTTGATGGTAACTGTTCACCTAAGCTGGTATATCACGAAATATCAGTGACGACTGGAACTTGTACAATTAAATATCTATATATAGTTATTTCTTGCACTGTTTCTGAAACAAACATTCACCGTATTGATCGTTCTTTGTTTAAAACTGCGCCGACATGCAGATGTAAACAATCCAGTTGATAGTGCATTGTTCTCAAATCGCCTGGTGTACACTTTCCTTGTTGTTTTTCTAATGAACAGTAATTAATATTTGTGATTTGTGTGTGGTGTGTACGGAATTAATGTGTTTCTTTTGTCGATATGTACTGTCTTATAAATATTGGTTTGACTTGTATAAATTGCCAAACAGAAAACATCTTTAAGTGTAACTCAGGTTCTTTATCATTTGATGAATTAATTGATGTATGCTTATCTGATGCTTCCTAGTAACTAATATTAATCACGCTAGTACAGTCTAAAGATAAGTAACAAGTAATTTGTCACCAAGTGGTTCAGGGATGTTTTCGGAAAGTTCCATTTTACTGTGCAATCAAGTCCCTTTCATCTTTTTTTTGTTGATCTCGTGCAAAATAAAAATGTTCTAATCATTATTGCATTTGATGTTTATTATCCATTCATGACAACATGATGATATATAGACTTAAGTTAGAGCAGCGTAAAAAATTCACCAAAGAATGTTGTATCAGTCTCAGCACCTGGACTCCTTATTCATTTATGCATTTTAATCTTCACAGAAGTCGATTGCAAAAGTCAGTTAACTCATAGCATCTTCATGCAACCATCATAAAAGCTCGACTTAAAATACATTTCTCATTGACTTCTTAATATCAACTATAACATTATTCCTAATGGTTATCGCTAAATATATCTACTTGTTTATCGTCATTCAATTGACCGTAACGATACTTATTTTGTAGTTTTGATAAATATAGTTGATATTCCAAACTATCGAGGTTAAAAGCTTGTGTTTACTACATTATATAGCAATTCATCAGTTACGTAGCAGAATATAATTCCTCAAATACTCATCACAAGATGGGTATATAATTAAGTCATGAATAGTATCTCTTAAGTGATCTGAACCAAGTGTAACTTATTCGCGTCAGTTGTTCTAAATGTATGTTCTTCACGCGAGTTGAGATATTTTTAAGTTCGTCAGTAATTTCACTTCGGATAGAGGAATTCTCTGTTGTTGCTAAAACTCGATTTTAGTCCTTTATTTGTGTCAAGCCCGCACTTTCTGTAGATAGGAAGATTAAATTACATCGTGATTGCCTGTCTATACAAAGGCAAATAAGTCAAGGTAAGAAGGATAAAACTTGCGTATTTTAATGAATAGACAAACGGTAAAGAAGAATGAGAAATTAGGGCCATGGTGATGACTACAATTGTATGGACTCTCATCACACACTCTTGTCTAGATATAGCTAGTGCTTTATCAACTCAAAAATATAAGTATGCACTTCAATGGATTAGGTTTGTTATTGATGACAGAAATTTACACCTAATTTTGGGTAATTTTTGTTGATACATATAGGGGTATGGGTGCTTATAGACAAGTGAATAAATATCCCTCGAATAACTTAGCACCAAAAAAACACATATATGAGTACTGGATTGATCAATGGAGGTCGTTTGTCCTTCGCCCGGGGAATTTGTGAGCTACTACTGTAGGATACTTGTGATAAGGTTGTATAGGATATAATTCCTAGTTTTTCATTTTTGCTGGGATTTACTAAAATATCACAGTAAAGTGGTTGTCTTTCCAAGAGAGTTTAAACAAACGTGTTGTTATATACTCAACATCAATTAACATTTTAAAAAATATAAACGTTAATTTTTGTGGAAACGACTATCTAAATATTTTCCTCGAATTCAACACCGAAATTACTTGCTTTAAATTGACCATTTTTTCTTAAGTTTATGCTGCATGAACTTCGCTTTTGAAGTAATTAAAATACTATGGTGCTTTACAGATTATTATTTTGGTAAGAACTTATGCCTTCGATCAATAATTTGGGGGTTAAAGATTTAAAAGTGGATTTTTTTTCTATTTAATTGAAGTATAATTTAGGTTGTATATGTCAAATTACATTGTTTTTCTTATATAAATATAACGATCATATGAACGTTTCTATGTGCATGTAAGTATCTTCAATCTTATTTTTGGTATATACTTCTGTCTTAATTTATGAAAAGACTTGCTCAGGGGTTATTATTTTATGAGAATTTGTATTGTACGTGTGCATGATTATCAACGTATTATTGAAATACCTTGCCGTTGTAATCTTTGTCTTTCCAATGACTAATATTAATCATGCTAACATACCCTAAAGATTAGTAATAAGTAGTTACTTATCACTAGATGGTTTAGGGATGTTTTTGGAAAGGTTCTATTTTACTGTGTAATCAAGTTCATATTATAAATTTTACTTTTGAATTAGCTGTGTCATTTTGACTACAATTATAAATTCTTGACGTACTAAGTAGATATTAGTGTCTAAATTGTGCTCATGATGATAATGGTTATTAGATGTACTTGAAATGTAATCAAAAAAGGCAGTCTACTGAAAACAATCGTGTATTCTTCAGAGAATTACCGGAGTTCGAAAGATAAGTGCTAAATAAACAATATCTCTGTTGTTCTTTCATCAATACGAAGTTCTTTATGGGTAAAACTTTATTTGTTGCCGTTAGAACAATTTGTTCTTATTGTATATCGAACAAGAACAAGGTTTGCAGAACAAAATGAAATTATCACATTTCATAGCTTCTCGTTAGCTGCAAATAGCCTAAAATTACAACTATTTATTTGATCATACACAAAGGTTTAATATACGTTAGTAAAGCTTACATAACTGTCCGAAATGAAAATAAAGAATTATGATAAGTGTACTACATACAATACATGACTAGATATGGTTGAGGTTGGCGCGTATTTCTATGTTGAAAAGTGGTAATTTAAAGTAGAATATATAATGCTATAGTTACGAATAATCGTAAGAAAGATGCAAAAGGATTGCGTAAGCAAAATGAAATTAATAGGCGGTGACATGATTGGAAACAAAGTTAAATTAACATGCGAATATGATTGTGCTTATGTAAGAAATAAAAAATTGGAAGACAAAGAAAAGTTTTAGAATAAATTAAAAGATTATTTGATTAGCGGTCAGTCAAAATGTCAGGAAAAGGCTAATCACATTTTTCTTCTGTATACATAAGCCAAATTAAGAATGTTAGTTATCGATTACCTTTTCTAAACGGAGTTAAACTTTTATTGGTTGTTTCCTAGGTATTTTATATGCATCACTTATATCTACTTTATGTCCACAATCCCAAAAAATATCTGAGACTATTGACTTTCGTATGTAGATTCTTAGGAACGTGTTTAGAAACCGTTCTCCCTATCCTTCCTATATACTTTCTACCTCGGGTACATGTAAATTCATACGTGCAGCTGGAGATGATTTCGAAAAGATAGATTACGATGTCGCGGAAAAAATTGTTCAGGGAATCAATTAAGTATGAATGACTTTTTATTATTTAACACATACATTTATAGACTCATGTTTTATGAAGTCAAAATATAGAAAAGATTGGCAATATTTATATAACGGTCAAAATAAATTCTTTGTTTCTTAATTAAGACCTAATTACTCAGTGTATATTATTTTTACAGACATTTGTTTTACTGTTGGAATTAGAGAGTAATATCAATGTACTGAAATACCTGGATGTTATTTAGAGGTTTGTCACATCCGTCGAATACAAAATTGAAAAATAGGAATCCACCATACATCAATAATCTGTTTTGAAGGAGTTTGTATTGTTTTAGTGATCTATTTAAGATTTTAAAGTTAATTAGGTTCGTCTGAAACACAAACTGATTGTAATTAGCAGAAGATACAAAATATTGTATCTTAACTCAATGACTTTACAGTAACAGACTCTTTACTTCAAGATTTCGGAATTATTTCGAATAGTAGTGGAAAATATAGTCAACTAAGAAAGCACAAGTTAAAAGGAGAAAGGTTTCGAAAACATATTATACATGTTTCAGCTTATTTGATGTCCACTTCATCAAAGCTGCGATATTCTTAATAATG